CGGGAATGTGGCCGAGAATTTGATTCACATTCAAGATGCAAATACCATATTGTCCATTTTGTTAAATAACCAACAATTAGCGCCTTGTTGATTGATATGTTATGTCACAATGCATATCTGCAATGGTATCAAATTTCTCTCCCTTTATCTCCAAACAGCGCCATCCCATTCATTTTTGCATACGGTAGTATTCAAGTAATCCATCAGTAATCTCTTTTGCTATTGATTGATTTCTTTCATCATTCTAAAGAAATCCCGGTACATTTGCTATACTATTTGAGAGAATTATTTAATCTTCTAATTCATGGGAGAGACGAAGAAGAAATAAAGAGATGTGAAGATTTTTTGAATTCATTTATAAAATGATAATTGATATATTGAAATGTGTAAATAACGGGTTATTACAATGAAAATATATTGGAAATTCCCGAGAATTCCCATATGTGCATGTAATTGACCAAATTAATTGAAATCCCTTCTAGAATAAAAAGACAAATTTTACAAATTTTTCCTTTCTCTTTAGCTTTCTTTACAGCTATTGATTTAACGAATAGAAAGTTTAAAATGTTATGGACAGATTGAGCAGCACCAAGAAGGATGGAAGGTTAGTGACCATTTGAGAGCATTAGATAATCCAATTGTTGTAACGTCCGAAAACTGGGCATTTTGTGAGGAAGAGTATGTCAACCAAATCATCCCTATGCATAATGATTAGCATTTGCGATAATTTTGGTAATTGAATTCAAATCGATCCTATTAATTGTTTAAATTCATTTATCACCAATTTAATCATCTTGTTTAATGCTAATGATTTAGCTGATGATTTATATTCCATTCGAATCAACTTTTGATGTGACAACCGTCAACAATCAAAATTCTTCAATCATCACTCAACTTTTCATTTAATATTTCAAAAAAAAATTATAGAAAATGAAACTTTACATTAGGATAAGCAATGAATTCCTGAAAATTAAATGAAAATTTAACATTTGAAAACTAAATGAAAATTTAATTTTTGAAAATATATTGCTTTGCTTAACAAAAAATTTTTGCAAAATTATGATGTACTGTGCTTTAAAATAAAAAATTCAGTTTATGCAAATATTCGCTCATCATTAATATCCTTTATTTCAAACTATTTTTCTTTTTTTTCCTTTTTCTTCTCTTCATTTATTACTATTATTATTATTATTATTATTATTATTATTATTATTATTATTATTATTATTATTATTATTATTATTATTATTATTATTATTATTATTATTATTATTATTATTATTATTATTATTATTATTATTATTATTATTATTATTATTA